ATCTGCTCACTGGTCACCTGGCAGCTCTTCTCACAGCTGTTCTCTGCAGCGTGAGTCTTTGGCTGATCAGCGACTATAGCCACGTTGTTGCCCCTCCTCAGCGGCGTCTTTCCTTTACCTGGAGACGAAACACACCGTTTAAAAACCTTTGACACCAGCAGCGAGTTTTAAGCTGTCATAATTACAATCAAATGAAGAATATCGGACTGATACATGAAGAAAGACGCTTGAATCAAAACATCCTGAATGTCTGTCCATCATCTCACGATCCAATCATCAAGCACTTGCTGGTGCCTTCTGGCTGTGAGCTGTATCGTGCATCACCTTTTGTACACGAGGCCGGCTGCTCCAAACATGAAGGTGGCATTAACCTGGAAACAAGGCCTTCCTCTTCCTCGCTGTCCGAGTCCGAGATGACCTGTGAAGGTTTGGGCACGTTGGCACAAGCTGATCTGCACTGCTGGACTAAACCACTGGGACCTGGAATTAAAATCAAATATTAATGTGGAAAGTGTATTTATACCTTCATTGTTCCAAACACTGATTGTGAAAGACCGACGTCAGACCTGCTTGTTCCTCGTCAGGTGGCTGTGATGCTGTAGCCTGGTGACTGGGCCCCGGAGCCACGTCGCCTCCTTCAACCTCGGCTTCTTTCAGCTCGATCTGAGGCTCAACGTCCATGTTCTCCTTCCCAGAAAGTTAGCATTCACATCAGAACCCCAAACCTGACTCTATTAGCCTACAATCTATCATATGTGTCCTCCGTCTCATCAACATGATCAATACTTGTCATAATCTCCAAATGTTATGGACAAAAATGAACATTGTTAACAAAAATTTGCCAAAAACACCCAATGATACAAAAATATATAATAAATATATAATAAATATATAATAAATCTATCATACTCAACATGATGTAGCAGAAACATTCTGTGGGCTTTGTTATCAGGGTTAATAAACGTCTGTTATCTCTGGCTATTTTGATGGGTTGGGTCTTACAGGGTGAAATACAGAACATTTTTACCTCGTCTTCATCCTCTTCATCTTCTTCCTCCATTCCATTTACTTCTGCTGGTGCTGTAAAAACAAGCGCTAGTTCTTTAACTCAACTCTGCGTCAGGGTATGAAGGAAAATACTTTATATAACTGAAGACGTGAAGGTTAAAGGTCGCACTATGGCAGAACCACAGGTTTAAACACATTTCCACGCTGTGTGTGACGTGCTCTGCCCTCTCAGCCTACAGCTGCGTTGGAACAAAAAGAGTGAGGGATGAGAACATGCATCAGTGTCCCCCC